ACCAGGTCAGGTCAGGTCAGGTCAGGTCAGGTCAGGTCAGGTCAGGTCAGGGCTTTTATGTATCAGGACCAAAAACATGATTGTTTTTAATATTTTCTAAAATTATTCATATCTAGCATCAAATGTAGAAAAACATCACAGATTCCACCCTGTCATGAGGCCAAAACAGCAAAGCTAAAGTCCACCAGAGGATTTAAGAGGTTCGGTTTGATCACCTCGATAAAAGCAGGAGTTCTGTTAGTTTGTTGCTTTGGAGCCAGACTGTCTAATCCTGGACTTGGAGAGCCACAACCTGCAGGTTTTAGAGGTTTCTGAATGAACGGGTGATTAACAGGCTTCTACAGAACATGAAGAGGTAATTCTGTCACTGAACCAGGTAAGGTGGAACAGAGAAACAAGTAAAATATGCAGGATAGAGGTCCTCCAGGACCAGGAATGGTCACCCCCTGTTCTAGAGCATACAGGTGTGTTAACACAAGGTCAAGGTGTAAAGAAATCAGCAATGAGCTCAGAGAAACAGCTGCTGCCTGCTGCCCATCAAACTGGGAAAAGTCAAAGACAGTTTCCAAACAAGGAGTCCTCCATCATTCCTGAAAGAAATATGCATGAATGTATTTGGAGTGGGAATCTTTTACCATCTCATGATTCGATTCAAAATCAATTTTCATTGAAAACTGATAACATGAGCCTGCACATTTGTTGTGTTCACCTTCATTTGGCAAACCTTGCACACAGTGAAGTTCATGTCAAACTCATTCAGGAAAAATCAAAATGAGTCCAAATCTTTGCCTTTAATAAGATAAGATAGAACTTTATTGATCCCACAGTGGGGAAATTTGAACATTACAGTAACTCAAAACAGTAGAGTTGCAGTAACAGGCTGCCTGCTGTGGCGCCAACTTAGAAACAAAGAAAAACTGAAAATCACACGAGGGAAGGGAAGATGAGGAAAAAAGCAAAAACATCATTATATCAACACTGTGACACACTATGCTGTTTATGAAAAAAACCTCTGCATAGAGCAAATTTATTAGCCAGAGGAGTAATTGAGTTTAAAGGGGCCCGAAGAATCCAGTCCCCAGACCAGCGCAAATATAGTTCAGAAATATTGATGGAAAACTGTTCATTTCTGTGCAGCTTTCAGCCAGCTCTGGGAAACAGAATTAGACGGGTGAGAGGAGGGGGGGAGGGAGGGGGCAGAGCTTTGTCGATAAATTCCAGCCAGGAAGAATTTAGTCAACAGATTCGAGGCTGTTGTCGGGGAGATCCAGATTCTGTAATCAGTTGTTTTGGGAACAGAAGAGACAAGCAGACGACAACAATTTTCCCTCTGCCTTAATGTCTGCTGGTACATCTCAAGGTTGGCGATCCCAGTCAGGCAAATGGTGTGGACAAAATTCCGCCGAGCCGAATCAGCTTCCTCCAAGATGAATTCCATCTGGCCAGCAAAGTCCAGGAACCACAGCCGGCCCGCGACTCTCAGTAGAACCACTTGCAGACCGAGTCAAGCTCGCTCAAGCCAAAATGTCCGAGTGCTGATAAAATACGGCCGTCCATCCAGTTGGTCAGTCAGCCAGAAAGTGCAAAGCCACCGACGCTGTTTTGTAGAACACCAGGAGACCATCAAGCCAATCTGTAGAATCCAGTGATCGGAATCCAGACATAAATCCAGAACAGAGAAGAACAGAGGTCCCACTTTTGACATGTCCTCCCATGGAAGAAGAAGAAACTTTGTTCCAAAAGTTTTATTGAGAGACCAGCTAAGCAAGTCCATAAAAATAAAAATATCCATAATTTCTAGTTTCAGATGAAAAATGTAGAGAAGCTCCAAGCAGCAAAGCAGGGAAAGATAAGGAAGGGCAGGAGAGAAGGAAAAAAGCATCTCACTCCTCCGAGAGC